GGAGATGGTCGATCGCGAGATCGCCAAGCGCAATGCACTGCGGGAGATCATCCCCGATCTCAAGGAAGAGGTCTACGACGAGGACGTGCCCGAGAGCCAGTACATTTGTGCCCACTGCACCCTCTTCTGCTACCTCGGCCAACTCACAAGCCCCAAGGCAGACGGCGTCGCATGCCTCGACCACGGTTTCGAGGTGTGCAATGCCGACGCTCCGGTCAAGTGGACTCTGAGGCTGCGATTCTCCGACGACCAACTGCGCTCGATCCTCGCCAAAGTGTCCGAGCGCGCTGCCATTCCTCGCAACTGGATTCAGCGGCTCAAGAAGACCCTGTCTCTCGGCCCGAACCCGCCGCTGAGGACACTCAGAACGCTGCTGCACGAGGGCGAGAAGATCGCCTTCTCCCTCGAGCCTCTCGAGGACCTCAAGGCCTTCGTGACGTGCGCCAACTCATGGATGGATCGAGCTAATGTCTTCCTGGTCCGAAAGCTGCACAAGAGGAGGGGAGAGCCGACGCAAGCGCCAGCTGTACGAGGCAGACGTTCCAAAGGCGGGGCCTCTGGCGATGACAGCGCTCGACGGGTCAGCATCGATGCCTCCGCCGAAGACCCTGACTCGGTCGCCGACCGAAGCCCAGAAGCGCTCTACGCGCTGCTCAACGAGCTGGACAGCCTTCACTTTGATGCGCCCGAGATCGCCTCTCTCCGCGCTCTTGTTCAGGAGCTTGAGGAGTTCGTTGGGCGCAGCAACGAGATCTTACGTCAGCGCAAAGAGTCCGAGCCCAATCTCAAGGACTGCGAGAGCGTCCTTACCCTCGGCAGCTCTCTCAACGTCGATGCGCCCCAGATCAAGGAGCTTTCGGACTACGTCGAGCGGCGCAAGTGGGTCCAAGAGGTGTCCGAGTCGCGCGATGCCTACCTTTACTACCACGAGGTGGAAGGTCTGCTGGAACGCGCCGAAAGCTGCGGTCTCACGGACCATGAGCTGCGCAAGGAGCTCGAGCAACGACGCGAGGCTGGAGCTCGCTGGACTGGGCGTGCCCGCGAAGCTCTCGAGGGCGATGCGGCGCTCACGATCGGAGTGCTGGAAGAGCTGTCAGAGGCGTCGGCCGAAATCCCGGTCGTGCTCGAGGTCGCACAGGATGTCAGCAATGCTCTGACCAAGGCCAAGGAGCTGCAAAAGACCATGCAGACGCTCCACAAGAGCCTGCAAGCCGGCGCACCAACTCCCGCCGCCGTGGATGCAGACGGCGACCTCTCCATGGTCTCGATCTCGGAGAACAGCGATGCGGCCAACCGACTCGCCCTGCTTCCCGATGCTCGTCGCGCCGTCCGGGCGGTGAGGTCGAACAAACTCGAGCTCGAGCACGCACAAGAGATCGAAGAGGCCATCCAGATCCACGATTCATGGAGAGTCGCATTCAACCAGATCATGCAGTCAGTGGCCGCCAGCAACCGCCGCTTCACGGATGCCGACAGAGACGCCGAACTCGACAAGATGGTGGAGCGCGTCGAGAACACCACCGATCCGTCCGACGACCAGCCGCGGGCCGAATCGCGAACTTGCGTCTGCAGAAGCTCGGCGCCGATTGCCGTACCCTCGTCGTCGGCTGCAGAATGCTCCCGCTGTCACGTGCGCTACCACCTGTCGTGCATCAAGGTCCGCGCGTCTGAAGTGTCGCGAGCCGACGGCGGCTGGACTTGCCCGTTCTGTCCTTGGACGGGCAATGCTGCGTTCCTGAAAGCCCGCAGGGCGGTCAGCGTCACTGAGCTGTCCAAGCTCGTCTACGATCAAGACCATCGCCGCGACCAATTCCGATTCCTGCCGCTCGAGTGGGACGCGATCGAAGAAGTCGTGGCCAAGGCCAAGCGCTTTGAGTTCGCCGCGAAGCGGATGATCAAGACGCTTTCGCTCATGCGCAGGGATCAGAAACAGGCGATTCTTGCGCATTGGCTACGCCGATCCATCGGCTGTCCTGTGGATGTGCTTGGCCCCGAAAAGATCAACATGCTCGATCTCATCAGCGAGACGCTGCTCGCCCTCGGCCCCGATCCCGCAGACGAGAGGCCTGCACCATCGGCACCCGTACGTCCCAAGCTGGAGACGCCAACGCGCTCAGAAGATCGCAACGAGCCCGCGGCTCAGCACGGCTCATCATCGCGTCCTGGTGGCCGTGGGGTGACCGACTCGGCGTCGCCCGCGGTGCGCGAGGACCGCAAGCGCAAGGCGAAGCGAGGCAAGCGCGCCAAGCTCGTCTTCCGTGAGGAGATCGGATTAGGTGCGTACCGCGACCGCCAGCCGATCTACTGCCTGTGCCACGAGCCAGAGAGCGGCCGCATGATCGCATGTGACAAATGCATGCTCTGGTTCCACACGCAATGTGTCCGACTCGACGATCCGCCCAATCTGGGCGACGAGCCCTGGATCTGCCCCATGTGCTGCATCAAGGCGGAGCGCAAGTATCCGCAGGCCGAGGTGCGCGTCAAGGAGATGGGTGTCACAGATCCTGATCTCTGGCTCGACATTCGCGCCACGCTGCGCTCGCTCGAGAAGCCGGTCAGCAAGCTCCAGTCGTGGAGCAGCCGCGAGGACAAGCGCATCGTCTTGCACCTGGAAAAGTTCACCCCCGCCATCCATGCCGAGGAGGTGCATTCGCAAGGGACCAAGCGCGCGCGGCTCGAGTCGGACACGCCGAGCAAGGCGCGTCCCTCGGTCGGCCGGTCGGACTCGATCTCGACGCCAGCAAAGGACAGCGGGTCGCTCCCGTACGCACCCGCGCCGGTGCCGAGCGAAGCGGCCCGTGGAATCGCCCCAGTACCGGTGCCGGCGGCAGCGAGTCAGGCGCAGCTTCCGCCGGCGGACGGGCCCGTGCCAAAGGTGGTCGGCGGCGACGAGTCGCTCGGCCCCGTCTCGCCGCTGCAGACCGAGCCCAAGGCTGTTCCGTCGCCGGCTCCTGGCGGCTTCGACTGGGCTCAGTCGGCCCGCCGACGCCATGCAGAGGGGATGGACAATCTGTACCGCCGCGGAATCACGGATGCGATGCTCATGCGCTTCTACGTTGGCTGGAACGGACGCGTGCTCGTGCATCCCATGCTCGATGCGACGGGCGCCGTGGTCGAAGTGCAGCTCGGCGAGGCCATTCGACTGCACGCCGATGACCCCGAGGGTGTGCGTGTGATCCGGGCCGCCATCGAGAGGCACAATGCGCGCATGGAGCGCAGCGCCGCGGCTGCACCTGGAGTCATGCGTGCGTACGGTCCGACGGATGACCACGCGGCGCCACGAACGCCGTACGCGCGCGAGGAGATGCTTCCGCCGCCGCAGCGCCACGAGCAGCCCATGCTGCCGTCCCACAGTCGGTACAGCGGCGGCTCGCCCGGCTCGGTGCCGTCGCATGTCGCAGGTGATCGCGACGGGCGCTACATCGAGCCCGAGCTGCGCGCGATGCGGTCGCCTGCGGCTGGCGTGGCAGCGGCCTCGCCTGCGATGCGCTCGAATGTGACGCACGAGCCCGCGCACTCGTATGTGCGCGGCTCTGCTACGCCGCTCGTCGGTAGCAATGGCGTCGCATCGGTGTCGAGCTCCTATGCCAGCGGGCCGCGCCATGCCTCGCACAGTGCGTACTCGTCCGAGCGCGACTACCGCGCGCCGTACCCGGCTCCGTCGCATGCGGAACCAGAGGGAGCCAGGACGCCCGCACTTATGCCGACGTATGCGACCGTCAAGCCCGAGCAGCTCACGCCCGGCGTCGGCTACGGCGCACTCGACCCGGCCATGATGGCTGACGACGCAAGCCGCGCTGAGGCAGGCAGTGAAGGCGCACCAGCTAAGAGAGCCTCGCCAGCGCAAACGCCGCCAGTGGCGCAAGCACGCGCTGTGCCCGCTGCGGACGAGCAAGCGGCCCAGGACGGCAAGATGGCAGAGCCGGGTGCGGCGGATAAGCATCAAGGGCCCGTGCCTGCCGAGCCCAAGAAGGAGAATGGCGCCGCCGAGGACCTCGAGACGGTGCGCGAGCAGGCGAGGAACATGGCTAGGCGCATGCGGCCCGATGCGTCGGACGCCGAGATTGAGCGTCTGGTGCAGAACTTTATCGGCGGCACCGACGGAGCCAGTGCGTAAGACGGCCTCTCATTCACCAATCGTCACCAATCCTGGTATTCATGGTTCAGACTTTTTGTTTCTCACACGCAATGGGAGATGTGTAAGAATCACGAACGGGCTGTGCTTCTCCCTAAAGCGCATGATTGTCATCTCAGCCGTCCAGCCTGCGCCGATGGCTTGAGTAAAACACCTGGAGGCACCCAGATGCACTTGCACCTTATATGAGCACACGAGGGTCATCTGACCATACAATATGAGTCATTGGCACACGCTTTAGTGATGCATCGATCGGGGGTGAGAGGGGGGGG